GTAAATGGTCATTTAGGTTTGTCATTTTTTCATGAACTACTTGATATACAACTCCCACATTCGATCTTAATGGACTACATGCACATTACTTTGCTGAGACATACTCGTTGTGTGGTTTTGCAAATGTATACAAGTATTGTTCCAAAGAAAAGATCACAAATTGATGACCAATTAAAGTTTCAACAATTTCCACATACATTCAATAGAAAGTTAAAGCCTATCAAATCGGGACATATAAAGTACGATCGGTTTGTATGATGCTCTTGTACTTAGTATAGCTGAGATATTTTCATAAAAGAAATTTGAACTATCACAATACTTTGTTTTCATTTAAACATGTTTGTGTATAATGAAGTCTTGATATTCCATTATATATTTTTATGAATAGTATTAGTGTATCAGTTTTAATAAATGTTCGTTGAACATTATTGTCTTAGTACTTGAAATTGAAATAGATAGATCATTGAAAATTTTAATAGTATTTTGATGAACTTGACTAATACTAATCTTAACATTTATTTGTTTAAATTTTTGCTTAAATTTAATTTAACTATTTTGTCCTAAAATGGATATGAATTTATGATATTTTTTCAGTTTTATTTCTATCAATCTAAGTGCGTATAAATACTGTATGCAGTTCAAAATTCACAGATTATGTCTTTATAGTTGGTTTCAAAAAATATATTCAACAAGCTAGTGTTTCTCTATTGTTTATTTTTTTTTTGACTGTCCGTAACTTTCAAACGATAAATAAATAAGTACTGTAATGCAAATTAATTATTTTTTAGAGCATCAGAAATAAAAAATCTATTATTTTATGCGTTATTACCTATATTCTATCAGCATCTTCAAGTGGATAAAGCTGCTCATGTTGCTCTTTTAGTTTGTGCTATTCGTGTAAGTTCTTTTACATCATGTAATTACTATTTTTCTCTTTGTTATCTTGTAACAGATGCTTCATGGTCCTAAATTATTTGGACATGAAACCGGTCTTTTAGCTCATGATTTATTATCAATATATTACAGAGATCATTGGAAATATTATGATAATCTGGAAAATTTAGTTTTACACTTGCACATACACTATTCGAATCAATATTTAAACTATGGTAGCTTAAATAATACAAACTGTTTTGCACAAGAAAGTTTCCTTGGTGCATTTGCAAAAAATAAACATGGTACTCGTTACTGGGGAGATTTACTGGTGCATCATTTTAATGTTAGATATTCTTTTCTGAGCTATATAACATTCTGAATTTTTTTAAATCTTTAGATTGATTTTGCTTTACAAAAAATAATCAATCAGCAGGAAGTTGATAATGTGAATCATAATGAAGGAGCTTTTGATGTAGCACGTTTATCAATCAATAATATAGAGAAGCTCCTGTCATGGCATCAACGTGTATGTAATTGCAATCAACCAGCAATATGTATCATTATTTATCATCGTTCTATTATTAGAGGTCAAACATATCATTCTCTTTCTTATCCAAAACGACAATCAAGTAATAGTTTTTTCGTAAAGTACACTAACGATGGTCGTGATATATTATTTGGAGCAATTGAACTGTTTTTTACATATAAAAAGTTTACTTTGGCCCTCATTAATAATTATCCAAGTAAACATCTCTTTTTTGATGTTTTTGCTTCTTCTTCTTATTATCATTCATGTTTATCCAAATATATCGATATGTACTTTTATGTACTTCAAGAAAAACCATCATCATTTCATTATATACCAATTCATCAAATATTAAACTTATGTGTTGTTTTCAAAAAAGATAACTTTATAGTTGTAACTCCTATTTCTCAAGCTTATGAACATGATTAAAGAATTGTACTTTATTATTGTCCACGTATCTCAAATCTAATACGATTATTTGCACTTTCAATATAGAAACGTGTTTTTCTGTTTAAATCTATAAAATATCCAAGTTTATCCGAACATTTAGCTAAAAAAAGTAGAACTTTATGGACATTTTTAGCATTAGAATTTTCGTTCTGTAACTGGACGTAAATACAATTCTAACTTATATAAAAGACCAGTATATTTTATGCTATTTCAGATTTTTTTCTTTCACATGCACTCCACAAATAATAGTCAGCGTAAACATATTGCTCGCAAGATATATACGCCAACTCAAAAGTCGTCAGCTACAATTACAAAATATTATCTATTGTTTTTCAATGAAACTGAAACATATCAAATTGTAGCTAAAAGTAGTATCAAATGCGTTGACGATCATGGTATAGCTACAATCACAATTAATAAAAAACAAATCAAAGGAAAAATTATTCTTACTGGTGATTTTTTAATTTAATCATTGACTTCAATCTTTTTACTTTCTTTTCTTAGATTCCTTTGATGAATGTGAGAAAGAAATGAGCCGAAGAACACGTCTTTCTCAACAGGATAACAATAGTAAAATTCTTCGAATTTTCTGTTCCATCAATAATTTGATATTGTAGATGATTTTGATTCTCAAAAAGATGATGCTGATGTAGAGAATGACGTCGTAACAGTTGATACACAACATCAAATTTCAACTCAATCTCAGTTTCCACATGATTCATTAGCTAGACTGAATTACGAATCAGCATGTAAATAATTAAACGAAATCATTGGTTTACATTTCTTTTAAATCAATTCAAATACTTTTTTTTGTAGCAGATGATAGTGAAAAAGAAAATGAAAAATATAACGAAGATGATGAGTTATCAGATCAATACGTCAAATCAATAAAAAAGAAGAATACAAATAAAAGAAAATCCACAACTGATCATGCTGGTAAAAAAAGAAAAAAAATTGTCAAAGAAGGTTAATCCTCTGCTGTAAATCCTCTGATATTATTATGCACTTTTCTCTAGGTGATGAACATGTTCAATCTAGAAAACTAGACACACAATCTGAAATAAGTTATTCTGGTAATTATTATTGTTACCAGTTATTTAGATAAAAAATATTTAATTCATATTAGGTGTTTCTATTTTGAACGCTATTGAAAACAAATTCTTAGGACTGGAAAACAAATTGCTCTCCATTGATAGTAAAAATGACAAACAAATGGCGCATTTAACTAAGAAAATCGATCATCTAACAGCCTCATCCATATATGTTAGTTTCTCATAAATCTATATGAAGAGGAACAGATTGATTTCAAATACTAGAAATTCACTTGTTTCCCTTGTTCTGTATAAATTATTTTTCTTTTCTTAGAACAAGGTGGTGCTTGATCAATATCGTGATCAAACAAATGAAGAGTTTGATAAAGAATTGGTGAAGATAATATTCTTTCACATTAGAGTAATTTTTTTTTATTGATAGATGTATGAAGATACTAATCTATTAAGAACAGTAGCATCATCGTTTGGTGATTTTGCGCGCAAAACCATGCGACTTGTATTTAATGCGCATGAATTAACAACACAAATTCTTCCTCCACAAAGACATTATCTAGCTCGAACAAGTTTAAATGAGAAAAAATTCCAATTAGTAAATGGTATAATAATATTCTATATATATTTTAATATTACGAAAATATATTTGTTTTTTTTTATCAAGATGCTATTCGCATCAAGTTCAAGATTGATAGTACGAAATATGCTGCATTTTATAAAAATATTTTGAGAAGAAAATTATCTGATTTTCTTATTGAAGAACGTCGTCGAGGATTAAAAAGGATTGGTCGTGATCATATTCAAAATGAAACTATGGAAAATTCATCTTGATTAGATCGATTCATTATAATACAAAGCAACGAAAAATAAAATAGATGCGTCGCATTTTTTTCTAATGCTCTTTCAACTATTTTACTTCATTTTATCCGATTTATATGTTCCTTTTCAATTATTATATTGTTCATGAAATTTTTTTGTGAGTGTTCTTACTCACGTTTTATATCTTTCAAAGAATGAGGAGATTAAAATCCATTATGGATTATTTTATTCGTAGACAAATAGTATTTACTAAAAATATCATCTCATCTAGTATTTCTATCTATCAGTTAGAAATACTACTGGAACCATAATGTTATTTTTTAATCCTCATTCTTGTCTTTTTGTCTTTTCATTTACATTATTGTTTTTATTTGCTTTTTCATTCGCACTTATTTTACAGATAAAGTTTCTCAGTTGTTAAACGAAATCGATTAAGATTATTGAACGAAAATATAGCAGTTAAATTACAAAGAATGTTTTTTTTCAATATGTTAAATCAGTATTTTATTAAAGAGCATGATTGGTTTTTGTGAAAATCATATCTTCTCATCAAAAAGTATATCACACATTTAAATACAAAAAAGCGAATGAATACAAGGTAAACAATTTCAATCAGAAGCAAAACGCAAAGTTCAAGAATAAAATATCGAAAAAAATGTATTTTAAAATAGTTAGAAGGACGATGTGTATCATAATCGTACTTCTGCAAAAGATCTTCATGACAGAAGAGAATGAAGTGTAAACAAAACAAGGAGTAGAAAAAGGAAGTGTTCCAATAAATTCAATAAAAAAATGTAAATAGAGTTTTTCTTCTTGTTTATCATGATGAAGCGGCAATCCTTGATTTCAACCACCAGCATTCAAAATAACTGCTTTGCGTTTTTTCCTGTGCTTGATTGACGCGAAATAGTTGGACATAGACCGACGAATCTGCTTTGTTGTTGATGGATCATCGGGATGACAATTTTTCGAACATTCTATAAAACAAGTGAAAACAAATTATGAAAATAAAAACAAGTGCATTTACCAACAATATAAGCAGCAGTTGTTGAATCAATGTCACTTAGTTTAAAATTAGGTGATGGACGTGGATATAAATATTTTAAGATGGCACGAGCAGTAGTGGTCGAACTATCCTGTTTTATTTCAGATAAAATTTCTGAATTAAGATTTAATTCATTATTTGAATCTGACATTTTTTTGCCATCATTTACAACAATACGATCATGATTAGTATCTTCTACAATACTATCAAACATATTTTCAACCACGTTCAGATCTTCTGAGTATGCTAAATAAAAAGTAAAAGATGTCAATGAAATCAATGCAATTACAGTTTATATACTTACGCATTAATGCCGATTCGAGAACTTCAACTCTTTTCTCGAGATCTAAACATTTTTTCTTTAATCGAATTAATTCATCACTATTATTTTCATCAAGAATTAAATCAGAAGATTCTTCACGCTTTCGTTTTTGACTACTAACAACTTGAACATCTGAACAGAAATAAGTCGTAGATTTTTGGAAAAAAACTTAAAGTTATTAAATCATATATACCTGTATCTGTATGTTCAAAATTTCCATCAATTCCATCGATTTTATTTGAAACATTATACAAGATTGGTGTATCATTTTTTTTTCATTCGAACAAGTATCAAATGAACAAGTTTTGTCTTCTTTTATTGGTGAACTAATTGGAGAACAATTCTGAATAGTCGTGAGTAGATTATTTCGAATCGTCAAAGGCAGATTGTTCTCTTGTACGTAATCTAAAAATAAGTATCTTATTATTATAAAAGTAGTAAAAAATACAACTTACTTTTCTCTTTCACATTTTCTTTTTCTTGTTGTAACTTTTGACCACGAATTTTCTTTCTAGCCATACCTGAAATAAATAATATAGTTTTAAGACATCCTGTATGAATTACCCATCAATCTTTACCTAATCACAAGAAAAAGAAACTGTAGATATGACTATTTGTGTAGTTGTTAATGCGTTCGATTTTGAAGTAATGGTGCTTTTATAAAAAAAAAGGACGACATAAAGGATATATATCGACGGCTACTTTAACACAAGTATCATTTATTGTAGAGGCGTGTGATTTTGAAGAGATCTATTTAACGATTGAAAAGATGTACCATTACAAATAAATTAATTTATTATTAAAATAAAACATATTCTTTCATATAGAAAGAAATCAGATATACCATAAGCAATCGATAGATGTCTTTATATTACAACATTTCCTTATGAATACCCATTGGAAGTTGTAATTGACGCTAAATTTTTGAAGTTCGATAAATCTGAGTATTGTCGAAAATCAACTGATATATAATTCTACACAAGAAGTATATGTCTCAAGTATTTTGTGCGCAAATATTGTTAGTTTGTCATACAATTCTTGACGATTATTATTGAAACTTTCGTTTCTTTGATTACATTACAAGTTATATGTTTCTCGTATACAAATACTGTTTACAATCTATTTACGGAAATATGATAAACATCTAATAAGGCAAACTCTTCCACATAAACGTATTTCGGTAGAAATTATAGTTTCGACATCGGCAACTAAACGGATTTCTATCTTGGGGAATCACTCGAAATCATCATAAAGGAAGAAAACAGTTAATTTCTTCTGCTTTTCTACTTAAAGACAGCAAAATTAAAATTCAAAATCTAATTTAAAATCTTGGTCCAGTACTCATTCACCGATTTGTTTTGCGGGAACACATTCTATATATATAGGTGAGACTTTATCTCACACATACATCTATTATTACTTAAAGATTACAAATTAGTAATCCGAAATTATGGTCCAGTATTCATTCACCGATTTGTTTTGCAGCAACACACTCTATATATACAGGTGAGACTTTGTCTCTCACATACATTTCAAAACTCATGGAAAACGACTTATTTTATGTATTTCTACTAGGATTGTTCCTAGGATTTCTACTAGGATTGTGCCTAGGCTTTCATCTAGGATTGTTCCTAGGCTTTCTACTAGGATTGT